TGATTTTCTTTCCAACGATTAAGGTCCATCTATCTGCTAATTAGAATGATGTATCCAACTTTTTGTGGTTTGGGCCAGGTTACCAAGAGTTCCAAGAGTTACGCAACAGTTCTGACATCATAAAAAAGAACAATATGATGCAAACGTTATGCAGTTAACCGCCCATGAGTTTATATCACTGACTTCATTCACCATTGGATTTTTACTATTAAACATTTTTCACAGCATTTTATACACAACAATGCAAGTGATATTAATCACTCTTCTTAGTTCCTAAATTTTCCACGAGTGGCCACGAAAGGGGGTTGCAGATATCATCGAATCGACTCCATTCGACTGGAATCGAACGACTCCAAAGTTGTCGTTTTCAAAACAAACACTTAGAAATGAGGTAATCACATGGCAAACCTTTTGCGAAGCGACTTCCGGTGACACGGATCGACTTTGCTGATGACAAGTCGAGTCGACCCATGCGAATCGTGTAGATTCGTCAACATTGAATTCCCCAATTTAACGCTTACCTCTGTGAATCGACTTCCGGTCACGGATCGACTTTACCAATGACGAGTACAGTCGATCTGTGCGAATCGTGTCGATTCGTAAACATTGAATACCCCGATTTAGCGCTTAAGTAGGTATTGTCTTCTTTTGCGAATTGAGTTCTGGCAAGACCGATCGACTTCACTGAAGACTTCGATTAAAAAATGAATTTCTGCCTATAAGAAGAATTTTAAAAAAATGGCTGCATTTGTAATGCGTCTCAGCATAGTTAATCGAGGGGACCCCTCGATTAACTATGGTCTCACACGGTACCAAACCTCAACTTCAGCATGACCTATAAAAGAAGTGTTGAGTTCCAAATGGAAATTAAAATAACTTGCCGTCGCGGTTTCGTTTCGCAGACTACGCAAATTGTGGTTATTTCACGTTATTGTTTAGTCCGGGACGGCTAAGAAATGTACAAAGTTTAAAAACTCACGTGCTGAGCTATTGTTCTACCAATAAGATCTTTTTTTTTTTCCATTTCCTCGTTGCCGTCGCCGTCGTGGTTAGCTTAAGGTCCCTAATGATGAATCGTGTCGACCCGTACGAATCGTGTCAATTTGTTAACATTTAATGCCACTGTTTAACGCTGTAGGAAGGAAGAAGGTTGATTTGCATATTTATAATATTCTGAAAATGGACTTCTGGCCGTTTCACGCTTTAAGAACGTGGAAGGTTCATGTTGTCATTTTCTGTTTTCATGCTAATCATTTTCACACATGGCTCACGCCCCTCGACTACCGGTATGTTAACGCACGATACGACATCCGGTATACCATGCTACGCATTTTCACAGATTGCTTACCTCCACTTCCGCACGATTCGACTTCCGGTGTTTCTATTCGTCAACGACCGTCGACGAATCGTAGCAATTTGTGTGTATTGGACATGTATGTCATTATGCGCATCACCTACGTACTAACAAAGGAGTTATTGACATATAACTTCTCCCTATAATGTCCTTACATTATTTGGCAAATAGGTAATGAAAATATTCCAGCTTGACTCGATCTTAACCCAAATTCTCATCATTTATTACTTACAAGGAAGTGTGTAGGAACCAGAGGGGAGAGTTAGCAATCAGATCTTGGTGGTTAAAGGGTGAATGAATCAAACCAATATGCGAAAGATCCTTATTAATGTTAGTTGAGAACTAGTTTTTAACTCGCACATTATAGTATTGTACTCAATCAGCCTTTCTACCTAAGGGAATGTGTTCTTTTTATCATGAGGAGTCAGGCACTTTGTCAGTAACAAATCCAATATGGTTGGTTAAAAATTGCTTATGTCTCCAATACTTAATTACGGAATTAAAAGATATGTATTCAGACTTTCATTTTTACAGGTGCGCTTTTCATGTGCATGGGAAATCCAGTAGTGGGAGTCTTCAAGTGTTCTTGAAAGCAAAATTTGAAAACTGTATACCAAAAGATATTGGGCTATATTGCTAACTGATTCACTTTTTGGCATTCTGCTTGCAGAGAACTTAAGGTGTCTCAGGTTTGTATGATTTAATCACAGTAATCTCTTTTATATTCAGTTTGTAATATTATAGTTTGTTTGTTTTGGTTTACAGGTGTGCACTAGGCCAACAGTGATTTTTAAACCAACTAAAAAAGGAGAGAAACATTCAAAAAGAGAAAAAGGGAGTGAGAGAGCAAAAACAAAACAGAGGCATAAACATTATTTTTAGAGTCAGCAACCATGCAAACCTAATTCAGCCCAATTCAACCCTTTACCTCCCAAGATCTTATTGCTAATTCTCCTCTCCCCTTTGGTAACACATTTCTTTGTAAAGTTGTTTGGAGAATTTGGTGTTAAATCAAAATAACAACTTCTACCTGATAAGTTTGATTATTATCATTACCTGTTTTTTGGATAATTTATGGATGCTACAAGAAGAACTAACATGTTAATCACCTTTTAGGAGTTAAAGGGTTAAGGCCTCACTAGCTTGGCATAGCTCAAATAATGGCATTTAACTTCCACATAAAAAGAGACTATGACACAGATAAAGCACATTTATGGCAAGTTGCTGCGATCAAAAAATGATGATAGACTCTGTAGTGAATGGTGATTGCACACAGAGCAATTAAACTAGCAACCATGGGGTCCAAAACTGGGAATTTAGAGCTGCAACCTTACTATCAAATTGTATAGTTCAGATATATTAAAGTTCACATGGCAACCAGGTGGACAATCAGACATGCTACTCTGGTTTAAAGATTTAATGAATGTAACCAAAGAAGTTACAACTTATAGACCCAACGTTTCGACACTCCTGCCTAGTGCCTTCATCAAGGGTGATCTAAACGCTGCAATATATTACACCTCTGACGAGGAATACAGTTTTTGTGCCTCATTTGATGTGTTAGTAAAAGTTTTTGCGGTTTTTTTTTTCCCGAGTTTCGGAGATCCTGCTAAGCAGCGCTGTAGAAGATATCCAGAAACCGTAACGTCTGTGACTACGTTCATTGTTGATTTTACTGTGTTTTGTTTGTTTAAATTTGATTTTGTTTTGTTTTGTTTTGTTTTGTTTTTAAAGTACCGCCAGCATGTGCACTCACACTCGCGGTGTACAAAAACGTTATTCTCTTCCTTCTGCCGAACAAACGACATCGACGGGATAAATAATGCAATTCAGCATTGGAAGACGATGGGCAATATTACAGCTTACAGTTTTATTATCAGGCTCTATTCAGCAAAAGATCCGACTGTTTCAATGTATGGAAAAAATATTTCAACCGTGCGAAGTAAAACGCCTAGTGCGTTTACGCATTTGACGCAGTAACCTCATTCACCAGCGAATATGATTTTTCTCAGAACATTTTATGCACAACAATGCAAGGGGTATCTATTACTATCCTTACTCCTAAAGATAACAATAATTTATCCATTAGTTATTATATAAAGAGCTTCTACCGCCCCCCCCCTTGGGTAGTAAATTAACGTTATCCCCTTTGCACAAAGGTGGAAATTACAAAGGTGGAAATTACAAGAGATGCAAGAGGTATCCATCACTATTCTTAGCTCTCAAAGATAACAAGGTAAATCCCTCAGCACACACAAAGGCAGAAACTACAAGAATTACCTTTTCGTAAGTTTTTTTTTTTATTACTGTTTATATAATAATAATTGACAATTGAATTCTAACATTACTTGTTGGAAAATTACTTGCAATTTAATCAAGGAAAATGTTCAATATCAAGTTAATTGTAATAGTCCCAAAGAAAACTATCTTGCTCTCCTTTTGCTGTTCGTTACGTTACGATCTTTTACATTAAGTTTCTCCATTTATCACTGGATCGTTGTGATGTAAAGTTAAAACCAGTTTTGATTGATTGCTTTGTTTTTGCCTCACTGGGTTTTCGTTTCATGCAGTTTCCTGAACTTTTCCTTGTTGTTGTTATTTTTCCTGGTTATTTATATTAAGCCCGTTTAAAAAAATGGTGAAAGCTACTCTTTCGCGATTGCTATCAAGTGAATTTCACATAGCCTTTAAGCAGATGAGTGGTATCGAGAACCTACTACGGCCCACGGACTACACTGCCTGTAACATTTACTCTCATGTTCGTGTTTTAAACCTCAGCTGAAAATAGTCCGTGTAAGGTAAATGTATTTTGAAAGAGATACACAGTTTTGTTAAATAATGAGATAACATTCACGATGCCATGTATTTACACCACTCAAGATGCTGAGCCACATAGTGACCCAGCTCATATCACTTTCCTTTGAAAAGACCACCAACGATTTTTTTTATAATTGATACGTTGTTAATAAACTCTCCTTGCTTTGTCCCATTTGTTTTGTGTTGAAGTATCTTCTTGTAAATTAGAGATAAATGAACATCAAACGACTCGAATACTACTCTTAGAAAAATACACGTAAGATAGCACCCGCTTGTATTCCCTGACTTACGCTAAAATAACCATGGTTTATAATTACAGCTAAAGAAGAAAAACGAAAAACACATAATACGTAAGCTTGAGAGTTTGTTTCTTGCAGATTTTACTTGAAGATTACTTTGAAGATCCTTCGGGCAACTCTCCTCGATGACAGAGGCTATCTGATTAAGATTATAATTCTAATGAAATAAATAATTGTTTGCCATCAAGGTTAAAATCTGCTGATAATGTTTAAGATAGAGACGACAAGTTAACTACGTCACATGTTATAAACCTTATACACATTTACTTACGGAGCGATTTATGAATCTTCTTACTATGCAAAGTATATTTGCTTTACATTCAGTATGTACCACCGAATCGTAAGCTACAAGCAGGTGGCATTCTAAGTTTGTAGATAAAGTAGGATCCACAATTCTTAACTAAAATTATCATTGTATATTTGCAGCCCGTAGGACAATCGCTAAAGCAGACCTTCCTGTAAAATTATACATATATACCTACAGAGCGATTTATGAGTCCTCTTAATACACGGGGTATATTTGCTCAAATTCAGTCTGTACCACAGTAGCGTGAGTTACAAAGAGGTGGATGAAGAAGTTTGTAGATGAAGTAGGATCCACAGTTTTTCACAGAAATTTTCTTCTTAGATTTACAATTGTTATGAGCATCATTACTAAAGCAGACATCCTTGTAAACTTCACCATCTTCCACTGTAGGATAACGACCGTCTAACCAACCTGAGTATTTTGTTCCACATCTGTTTGCTGACACACGTGATGTTGGCATTTTTGTTCCTGCAGCTCCCACAAAGCGATACCATTCCTCAGGGAGTTGGCTATCACACAACTCTGAACCGGAAGGTGTTTCGTAACTTTTTTTTCTATTGGCGTCACTCAGGTTTTTATAATGATTGCAAAGATCGGCTGGAAAGAGAAATTACAAGGACTCAGGTTATTGAAATCCATGGTTCAAGATCTTTTCTAACGTCTTATAAATCTGACAGCTTGCCAATCAGTTATGAACTTGTACTTAACAAGAAAAATGAATATGCAAGGGATCAAGTAGTACATGTGTAGGATATCATCACTTGAAGAGGCTAAAACAGTGATATTGGAGATCCAAATAAATTCAACAGGTTCCGAATTTGAGTTCCTTCTTTCTCAGAAAGCCCATTAAACTCTAGGCAGACGTAAGGCAGAACCAGTATCGTTTACATATGACAAACTAATAATATGGCCGACAGTGGCCACCTCAGCAGCTTGAGGTTAGACTCGAGCAGGATTATTTTAAATATTATAGCAAAGAGATTAAATTCACCTCTACAGTTATGACCATTTCCATTAAATCCAGGCTGGCAATCACAAACATAGGAACCGTTGGTGTTCGTGCAGGTAGCGTCCACGTGACAAGAGTGATTTCCTTTACATTCGTCAATATCTGAGAAACCATATATATTTGCACTTCAAAATAGGCGCATTCTCAGTCATGTTATTACCGTGATATTCATATATAAGAAAAAAAAATTATTTCTATTTTTGCGTTTCACGAGCTAGATATTTAAAACGGATATTTCATCATGATTATTTCAATTTATCAAGCTAACGGCTCTGAAATAACTGGCTTGTTCTTGCAGTTCCCACAAATCGACAACACCCCCTGGGGAGAAAGTCGTCACAAAACACATGACCAAATTCATGCGGTGTACCATAACTGCTCTTTCTATTGGCATCACCCAGGTTTTGATAATTTTAGCATGGATCGGCTTTTGAAAAAAACATCACAAAAAGATTGTAGTATGAAGGATAACATATTTTTTGTTGACATTTTTTCTCGTCAATCAGTTCGACAAAAAACAGACAGGACTTGTTTTTTAGAAGAACAACTACGCATTCAATAAATTTTAAAGAAGAATTTGCGTTGGACAATGATGATGTACGAAGTAACTAAAATGAGATTATATCATTATAAATATATATGTTCCTTTTACTTTAATCGCCCACCAAAGCCTGAGTTGTTTGAACCTCAACTGAATTCTACCAAATGCGTTTAAGACGCTTTTGATCCTCAGCCCCCACACAACGATACCAGCCCAGAGGTAGTAACTAGTAACCTAATTATTTTCCAGGAGTGTGTAATAACTCTCTGCTCATTAGCATCATCCTGTTATATATAATATTAACGCGAGTCAAAATTCAGTGAAGTTTGGTTGATCCTAACTGCTTTTGTTACAAGGGAATCTTTGAAGGTTACAGATTCTTAAAGGTTTTTTTTAGTTCCATGAAAAGGGTCAGATAAGGTCAGAGAAAAACACACAATCCCTTCGGGATTCAACCTAATCATTTCTTTCAGATTTTTTTTCTCTTTCGCATTTTTTCAATTTGTTTTCAATTTTTTTAATTTTTGCATCTGTCATGAATCTGATTAGTGAGATAATTTGTCTTAAGGATACCGAACAAAAGAACAGTTTTTTGATTAGATCAATTATCAATTTCTTTTTGTGCCTAGTTACGATCGTAGTTACAATGTTTATCTTTTTCCTATTGGTTTGTAATCGGATCTTTTAGCGTCACCACGCGCATATAAAAGCTAAGTTAGCATCCCTTTGAGCCAGAGTTTCGCAAGATTTCGCCTTGAATAGCAGTACCTTCGTTCTTTCCTTCTAAACCTTTGGCACAAGCGGGACCGATATGTAAGTAATTTTGTTAGTTTATTTTCAATGTGTTTAAGTTTAGTTTTTCACCTTGGGCGATAGCGCACATTTGTACTATGTTGTACAATAGTACAACTAATTAACTTGAAATCAAAAGAGTAATTTGAAAGAACTAGACGCTCAGACAGCAACGCCCACATTTTAGTCTTTGAGCTGTTAATCAGCCGCAAATGTTCATCGTGTAGCCGATCTTTGAATCTCGATTACTTTTGATTTAGCCTTTTATGATTTGTTTATGTTAATTTATGTTAATTGTTGTTATTTTAATCGCGTCATAGAAATACGCACGTAAAGCGTCTCTTTCATGCCTTTCGCACCAATTCAAGTAGATTCATGCATTCGTTATAATATTATTGTAATTTCAGTTTACGATCGTGATCGTCTTTGTGATCGTCTTTGTCTTTGTCTTCGTGATCTGAATAAACACCGTTGACCGTCATCTTGGTTTTCGTGGTTTTACTACGACCTGTAAAATAGTCCCAACATCAGCGACACTTAGCAAACACGCCTTAGCGACACCCCTCGAAGTTTCGTCTTTCGTCGCAAGCGTCACAATTTGGTTTCATCAACTGAGTTGATAATGAAAACCGGCCACCGTTAAGAGTTTCGAGCGTCACTTTAAAACTCTTTACGGTGGCCAATTTACGTCATCAACTCAGTTGATAATGCTTAGATACCCTGTTATACTCTCACTCCGACGCAGCATCACAGTTTCTTTAGAACCTTATATTTAGAACCCCTTTATTCATCACTCTTTCTATCAGTTTACTGGCGAGATAACTCACGGGTTACGTTGTTTTTTCGAGCTGGAGGTTATTGATATACTGTTTTTGTTTTAATGGTTTCCCAACATCTGGAGACGTTTACTACGCTGGTAAACCGATAAAAAGTGTGGTTCATTACTTTAATGACACAAAATTTAATTTTCCATAGATTTACTGGTGCAATATCTTGATTATTATATAAAATTTCATGATAATAATTTCGCTCTCAAGTATATCTTAAGCGTCAACGAAAACGTAGCGCCATGGGAAGTCACTTACATACCCATCATGTGTACATGGTTCAGACCCAAACGAGCGACTTTATTTTGATGCTTTTGTCAATCATTTTTTAAGAGTCCATTTAACAGCAGAATAACAATGCGTCAGTCACCAAAATTGTTGATTCAAAAGTCAGGAACGTTACCTAAGAGGTCCTTAACATGAGAAACCGCTGCTTTAATCAAAATGAGTTATGAGTTATGCGGCTGAATGGTGCGGCGCTCTAGTCAAACGTGTCATGCTGGACTAATCTAAATATTGTTGCAAAGATATTAAGTTCGCTTGTGCAGTTTTGTCCATTTCCATAATATCTAAGGTGACATTCACGTACATGTGATCCACGGGTGTTTTTGCATCTAGCATTCGCGTGGCATGAATGATCTTCTTTACACTCGCCAGTATCTGAAAAACCGTAGATTTATACTTTTTCCTTTTTGTCACATACCAAATTGTAATTACTTTAATCATTTCGAATAATAAGAAAGCGTTTTCTCGTTTTTGTCGTTCACGAATTAGATTTTTGAAACGTGCATCTCACCCGAAAGACATCATTAATATTCTCTTGTCACCACGAATGTCTTTTTATCTCCCAAAATGATAGCTCTGAAACAAAATGGATGTAAATCATGGCAATTCCATGCATAAACATACCTGGGTACTGCTTTTTAAAAAGGAAAAATCAACACTCGTAGGACAATAGTTCCTGCTAAAATTGCTTTGTTTAATGCTAAGGGTCCACTGATATAGAATGCAAGCTATTATTGGTCTATTATTCACTCACTCGATTGTAGATAGCTGAAATGTATCTCCAATGCTTTTAGGCGAAAATAAATTAAATATTGTACCTCGGCATGTCTGCAACTATCTTACCTGAGCACGAGTGACCATCCCCAGTAAATCCGTCTTTGCAGGTGCAATTATAAGAGCCAACAGTATTGAAGCAGTTTGCATTTTCGTCACAAACGTTATTGCTGCCTTTGCATTCATCGATGTCTAATTGGAAATTAGTCGAAGAAATCACTGAGACAAGGTAAAAACGTTTCACAAAAGGCCAAGGCAAAGGTAGAACAAACATCGTGTAAAGTACTTCTGTCCTTAGCATACAGACTTACCTCCCAAAATCATGTCGCAATAAACCAACTTTGAACTCCCGACATTAGCTGAATCCAACCAGTACTTTTTACTGATACTGTCTTTACCTTCACTTAATTTTATCTCTATATTTAGCACGATGACGCTGGTAATTCAGGAATAGATCCTAATGGAGCTACGATATAGACATGACTTCATTAGTTGCGAAACAGATCACAGTTGGAGAATATATTTGTCCGCGTGAGATAAACATGGAATGATAATGATTAAGAACTGTGAAGTTTAGCTGATGTTAATGTAACATGGACAGCGAATTTTGGCGGGTTTTTACTAAGAACTCACTGAGAAAGATTTTTATGTAAAATGAACTGGACCGAATACATACTTCTACCACTTATGCGTCCCATGTAAAAGCGTAAATCATCTGGCTGGAAATTCTCGGGCCTTGCTTCCTTGGTTCAGGTGTTTAACTCACAGGACTTTTCCCCAATTACATAATTGTAGCTTTGACATATCGTTTCTCTCTCGCAGGTGATATCGCACACATGAGGAGCTGTTACTGGGACCTTTTTGAAGACGAATCCTTTGAGAACCATTCCAGGTACGCTAACTTCTGTCTTGCATGGATTTTTAGCAGTAGCGAAGTCCATGAAAAACAAAGAAGCCAGGAGGATTAGGAAGCTTGAATTCCACACCATTCCCACCGATGCTGAAATTGGAAAATGCAGATTATTTAGGAATATGCTTTGAACGTTTTTTCTGGCCCATAAATTTAACGCAAACCAAACCAAACAAGTAAACAAACAAAAATGTACTAAAAAAAACGGAGGGAGAAACAAACGGAAGAGAAATGAAGGAATCCATTCTGAATCGGCTGCAAGTCAACAACACGTCTCCCACATGTTTTACTGTCTGAGTCGCTACACCTTTGTTCATCAGCTTCTTCGATATCTATAACTATACATCTCTTGCAGTTATTTGGGAATTGTAAATGTTCTTTCTTTGACAGAACCGCAGCAAGATGTTGATCGGCTTCACGACTAACAGATGAAAATGAAACGAGTGAAGCAAGCATCCAAATATTTGTTGAAATGTCTTGATCCATGATGTTATGAGTTGCGACAATTTGGCGATGCAAAATATATCGTGACCGTTCGATTAATGAGAGAGAATATTCAAGTTATGACAATTTGATAGGAAAACAAAGGTTAAGTAAGACTCCGGTTTTTCCTTACCTAATTGTGCTTGCAATTTTCCGTCACCCTTGTTGAACAACGAGGCAGAACTTTCGCACTAAAGATTCGGTTTGAACAAAAGGATTTGATTCCTCCTCTATATCAGTTTAACAGGGCAGATATGAGGTTGAACTTGCATTGTGAATTCGTCGATTGAATTGAGGCTTTTTAATTGAAAAAGGCCAGTTGAATTGCGGCAAATCTTTGGTCTCGATTTTATTTATAACGTTATACACGGAAGAACTCTTTACAGTACCGTTTACACGAATCTCTAATTTGTTCTTTAGCGGTAAAAAATTGTCTTGTCGTAGGTTGTGCTCGAAAAAGATGAGTACTCGCTTCTTTGAATTCCTCAATGAAATACTTTGCACCATATGTTGGAGCTCAAGCGCTTGTAATTTCTTCTTTAATGTATCAACACACGGATGAAGCACGTTCAATTTTACCGCTTTATTGGCACAGAAAACAACATTATTTCTCATCTTACTGATAACATAGAAATTCACTTACCCTGAAAAGGAAGAGCGAATGATAAACACTCAATTATTCCTTAGAGCCCCGCACTCGCCAACGTCAGGGAGACTTGGTTATCAGCTCTCAGAAAGTTTTAAGCCTAAAAGATATATAATTCACCTCTGCTCAAAAACGGGTGCCCTCAAACATTTCAGAATGATGTGTTGACATACTTACGAAAAGCCCTGCAGAAATTACATCCGCACTCTGCGTCAAATTGTTGCTAGGTGCCTTCTTTACTTAAAGCACAGCCTTTATGCATTGAAACTTGAGTCCGAGATAATAACACCCGTGTGACTTGAAAATAATAGGTTGAGAGAATAGTTGTTTCGAATCATTTATCCAAAATGAACCTCATGATTCCGTTCAATAATAATGCAATCCAGCAATGGAAGACGATAGGCAAAATTTCAGCGGGTGGTTTTATTACCAGGCTTTATTCAGCAACAGTTCCGACTGTTTCCAAGGTGCAAAGTTAACCGCCCAGTGCGTTTACACATTTTTTCAGCAACTCTTCATTCACCAGTGTCATGGGAAGATGAGTTTTTCTCAGAGTATTTTATGTATAGTAATGCACGAGGTACCAATACTATTCTTAGCCCCTACAGATAAAAATAATTTATCTTTGTTCTTTTACGACGAACATCCCCCTCCCTCCCTTCCCCCCCTTTGGGTAGTAAATTAATGTACATCCCTTAGCACTAACAAAGGCAGAAACTACAAGAGATGCCTTTTTGCAAGATTTTTATTACTATTTACTTAATGATAATTGACAATTGAATTCTAACATACTTATGAAAATTACTTGCAATTTAATCAAGAAAGATGTACAATATTAAGTTAATTGTGACAGTTCTAAAAAAAAAAGTGTACCTACTTTCCTTTTTCTGTTCCTTACGTTACAATATTTATTAATAACTTTCTCCATTTGTTACTGAATCGTTGTGATGTAAAGCTGAAACCAGTTTTGATCGTTTGCTCCGTTTTTGCCTCACTGGGTTCTGGTTTCATGCATTTGCCCGAACATTTCCTTGTTGTTGTTATTATTTTCCCCTGGTTATTGATATTAAGTCCACTTAAAAAATGGTGAAAGCTAATCTTTCGCGATTGCTATCAAGTGAATTTGAAGATTCTTTTATATAACCTTCATCAAATGAGTGGCATCGAGAACCTACTCTGGCCCTTGGACTACACTGACCTTAACATTTACTCTCGTGTTTGTGTTATGAAACTCAGCTAAAAATAGTCCGTGTTAGTTAAATTTATTTACCATGAGATACACAGTTTTTGTTAAATAGTGAGATAACATACGGCTAATTACACCACTCAAAAAGCTGAGCCACAAAGTGACTCAGCTCTCATCACTTTGCTTTGAAAAGACCAGCAACGATTTTTGAATATTTTAATACGTTGTTAATGAACTCGCCTTGCCTTGCCCCATTTGCTGTGTGTTCAGGTCTCTTCTTGCAAATTAGAGACAAATGAACATCAAATAATTCGAAGACAAGTCTTAGAAAATTAAAATATCAGGTAGTGGGCTTTGGGGATGGGGCTGAGTTTCTTTCCTGCGCTTAAATTTTTTTCAAAGGATTCTTTGAATATTTTTTCCAGTATGAAAAAGGAAATTTCACAGTGAGAAACTGTGATTTTGATTTCAATTAAAACTACTGTGAAAAATTATCGGTGATGTACTTAAACGGTGTAAAAAATTGTTTACAACTTGTATTTACCTTGTATGTTCTTGTTTTTAGCACGTCGCAGCTAGGAATGCTTTTCTTTTTACGTGTTTATGTTGTAGGAAAAAATCAACCTCAGAAAAACAGTTCAACTTTGAAAAGCTTCATGCACTTTTTAATCTTAATCGTACACATGCAAGTTGCACTCACCCGACGGGTTCATGTAATTTGGTTAGCCTTTGAAAACTTACTCGTGCTGATTTCTCCCAAATTGCACTCGAAAAGCGTGATCACCGATACAAATTGCTGCGAAAATAATTATAACAAACTTCATCAAGAATGAATGAGGTGCTCGCGCGTCTGTTTAAATAAGCTTTATAGGGACAATATAGAGCCACTGCACAGATCTTTAACTCAGATTCAAAATCGGTCTACGATGTAAGCGATCCATTTCGAATGAATCCTGGTCGATTCGAACGGATGGGACACACGGTTACGACAGGCTGAACCATTGAATTTTGCCGACTGTGCCTGTAAATTGGTTCAACGTTTCAAATTACTAAGTCAATTATAACGTTAACTTCGTGTAATTCATAGGACATCAGATTTTCACTGTCATTACTGTTTTTTTTATCTACGCCCATAACCTAATATGGCGCCTGTTTGTATTCCATTGACTTGTGCTAAAATAACCATGGTTAATAATTACAGCTAAAGAAGGATAAAAAAAAACAAACAAACAGAGAAAAAACGTAAGTAAAAGGCTCGAAAACCATAAGCTAGAGAGTTTGTGTCTCGAAGATTCTACTAGAAGATCAGTTTAAACATCCTTCGCGCAACTCTCTTAGATGACAGAAGCTATCTGATGAGAATTATCATTCTATTGAAATAAACACCTGTTTGCCACCAAAGTTAAAATCTGCTGATAATGTTTACGATAGAGAAGAAAGGTTAATTACATCACATGTTTTTAAACTTATACACATGTAGCTACGAAGGGATTTGTGAGTTCTCTTACTACGCGAAGTACTATTTGCATCACATTTAGTCTGTACCACAATAGCGTAAGCTACAACGAGATGGCTGTAGAAGATTGTAGATGAAGTAGGATCCACAGTTTTTTACAGAAATAGATTTTGCGTATCGGCAATCAATAGAGCGATCTCTAAAACAGACCTTCCTGAAAACTTCACCATCTTCCACTGTAGGATGAGCACCATCCAACCAACCTGGCCAGTCTGTACCACATCTGTATCGTGGCACACGTGTTGTTGGCATTTTTGTTCCTGCAGCTCCCACAAAGCGATACCATCCCTCGGGGAGTGAGTTGTCACACAAAGATGGTCCATGTAACGGTATAACGTAACTGCTCTTACTATTGGCATCACTCAGGTTTTCATAATTATAGCAGGGGTCGGCTAGTAAATGAAATAAACATAACAAAGAGTTTGTATTAACAAAGATAACATTTTCTTTTGTTCACATTCTTCATGTCAATCAGTTTGACAACAACCAGATAGGACTTGTGTTTTACAAAAACAATTATGCGTTAAGTAAAATTTAAAGAGAAATTTGCGTTTGACAAT